TATATAAATAAAATTGAATTGAATTGAATTGAATTGAATGAATAGATGGATGAATGGATGAATAGATGGATGGATGTTTGCAGGGATCATTGAAGTGTCTGAGTTGGGTACCCTCTATAGAACCAGTCTGGTGTAACCGTGCAGGTAAGCAGGACCCTTGGTCCACACAAACACGCATACAGCTGTTATCGTGCGCACTGTGGGGGTAACCTGCAGGTTTATCTCACCGCGGCAGCTGTCCGGATGAAACGAGTGGTCGCCCTCGATATCCTGCTCAAACCCCGCCCTGCAGACACGGAACAAGGAGAGGGAGGGGAGGAGACGACAATCAGGACGGTGAAACATCGAACAAAACCAGACGCTGCACTGCTGGTTACTGTTGCCGGGGAGCTTAATCGGTGACAGGTCATGGCTTGGGACAACATTTAATCAGATTTTGTCACATGGTTCATCTGCAGCGCACGGCTCCGTGCGAAGGCCACAGGAGCTCGTCCAATTAAAGGCAGGAAGGTCGTCCAGCCCGAAGACAGACGGGGACAAGAAGTGACCATGAAACACACACACACACACACACAGTATCAGTAAAGCTGCTGTAAATGAAGTCAATTACTTTCCGCTCGGCGTCTCCTGCTCGCCGTTTTGTCGCTGCTGTTTACCGTCTCTGACTCCATCACCACCAGCGCCTCCACCTGACCTTCAAATCCATTTTTAAAGAGGCAACAAATCAGGATTTCACAGCCACACGGGACAAAAAAGTGGAGCGAGTACCGCCGCCACACAAACACCAGTGGGCTGTTAGAAAGATAAAACACGTTAACACAGGAGCGAGTTTCCCAACATTCCCAGTCCAATCACCGCGGCGTGCATTCCTCCCAGCTGTCCGCATCACCGACACGTCTGATGAATCCCAGGAGAGCGTCTCCGTCACCTGTGCAGTTTCAGAGCCTCCGCCCAGGCCATCAGCAGCTTTTACTGACTTCTTCTCAGTTGGGGATCAAAAGTAATAACCTGAAACTACGACATGTGTCACGCCTTCACGTACGCACACGTCCATGATGTCACCGCCTTTACACCATCCGTGTGTGTCCTACGCTCCTCTGACTGTGAGACTGGATCGGCCTCCGCACGAGGACTAAGGTCGTCCACAGCATTCGCTCGGGAGGGTCACGATGTTGGCAGCAGGAATGATCACCATGGAGATGATGCTGAGAGGAAAGCTGGGACGCGTATCCAAGCCGGAACGTACGACCCGCTTTCAGCAGCTGTTCTGCCTGCCGCTGTGACTCACTACCAGCCGTGTGAGCGTCCTCTCAGCTGATCTGTGCCGCTCAAACACGCACAGTTAAATAACCAACGGACGCCCGGCTTCCACATCTGTGCACGTGGAGGTGACCCTGAGCTTCAAAGGCCTCAGGTGAAGGTGTGGACAAGAACAGGTTTAATCTCGACGTTAACCGCAGTCGGACAGACGGGCCATCTTCAAACGCTCACCAGGAAATCTGAAATCTGTCAGCAGTTATTACCGAGCCGCTCTCCCAGCGTCCGGCGATCAAAGCTTTTCTTCCAAACAACAAGAAAAGCGAGCCAGCATCGACAGGAAGACGGAGCCGGCACAGAGTTTCCAGGTGTTGGAATCTTTGCCCACAAAGCTGCTGGGTTTGCCACGCCGCTGCGATCTGTGACAGAAGCATCCATCAGCCCGATCGCACCGAGCCCACACCCGAGTTCATCTGGCACGCGTGTTTCCAGCTCTCTTTACCACGCTCTGCCCGTACGGCCAACACGCCTGCTGGTTGGCAGCTGTCCGGCAGCTGCTCGCTGTCTTACTCTCTTCCTCCGCTTTGTGTCTGATGGATTCATCACTTACTGACAAACACACAAAAAGAGGCATTTGGATGAATGTTCACTGTTTACAACAACATGTGACCAAACATGCAACGCTGTCACAACAGCCACAGAGGAAACACAGCCAGTTTCCTGAGGCGCTGAGACACGCGTGCGCACGTTTTCCATGCTTCCCAAACCTTAAATGAACCGAACGCGTCACCACAAACCATGTGACAACGTTATTATTGCCCAGGTGTGTCAGAGAGAGGAACAAAGGGGAGCACATGAAGAAGACTGCACTCCATATCCCAGAAAGCTACAGGAAAGAGCTCAGCTGAGACGGAGACCGCCTCCTCCACCCGGTGTCAGTGTGTTCACGGGAGATCGACCAGCAGGTGATGGATGCGGCCTGACACCACCTGAGGGCTCCGAGTTCTCCTCACACGTCACCTGCACACACCTGCAGGCCTCTAAAACACGTCGCTGTAAAACGTGCTGTCCACGCTGTGACCTCTGACACCTGTGTTCCTCTTCTTACTACATCTGAGAGGGAAGGACGGCGCCGGCGCCTCAGGCGCGAAGATACCGTCGAACGATTCAGCCGAGCTGGGGCGCGATGGACCTCGATGGAACACCTCTGAACACTGAAGCTCAGCCACACAGACCCACAGCGCCGCCCGAGCAGGAGTCCCCTGTAAGCCGTCACACGTGGGAGTGTGTCTGCAGAGCTTCCTGTGTACACAGCGAGCACACTCTCCCTCCCCGCTCAGACCGTCTGCACGCCAGAGAGATAAAACCACACCACCCAAAAAAGTTGGATGAATTATGGAGGAGCGGGCGCTGCAGAACATTCGTTAAACTGAATTTATTATGAAGCGTTTTGCTCTCGCTTCCTCGTCGCTCTATATTTACCTCTGCGAGTGCCACCCCCGCGCTCGCTCCAGCTTCCACCAGCGTGGGCTGAGCTGTAAGTGAGGAGCGAGAACAGGAGGAGGTCGCTATAAATCCCAGCCATGTTCAGGCACCTGAACGCCTCGCTCACGCAGAGGGGCGCGCCTCAGAGGAGGAGGAGGGGATGGAAATAGACTCCGTCAGTCAGCCAGAAAACTCCGCTGATGCTGAATGGCGTTTTGGTGCTGATGGCGTGGAAGCAGGTCGGGCATGTGCGGCTGAAGAACACAAATGTGTACGTAGGCGCTTTCACAGCATCGCTGTTACATTCACGCCCAGGACGGAAACGCTGCTGGCACCGGCCCTGCCCACCGCTGCCCGTCATTGATGAACGGTCCTCCATGTGACCTTTCCCAGCCGGGATGTCAAACACAGTAGGCACTGCGATGCCGACCAGAGCGATGGTGGAACCATCAGGACTGAACCCTGGACCCGCTCAGGTGTGTCTCCTGCAGGTGTTTGGGCCGTGAGGAGGCCAGAGCCGTGCTGCTTGATAAGAGGTGCAGACAGACTGCAGGAGCAACGTTAATCACCCACCTGAGCGACCCAGCCAGCTGTTCCAGCTGCTGTCGTTTTATGACGTCATCAGTCGTTGTTACAGTAAAGTGGGCAGACCTGTGAGGGTCGCTGATGCTTCATCGATCGTGTTATTGACACGGGAGGAGGGTGGAGCGGCGTGAACATGGCCGACTCTGAGAGCGCCCCCTAAACATCTGAGTGCAGTTTGGATTTTAAACCACACGGATGTTTTCAGGTAACTGGCTCTCTACCTGCCTCCTCCTCCTCCTGCTGTCCTTTTTTAGTATTCTGCAGCTGCTTCTCCATTTTCTGTCTTCACATGGAGTTATATAAGCTGCTAAACTTCCTCTTCACTCATCCCTTCTTCTCCCCGGAGGGAATCTGTTACTTTTCAGCAGAAGTTTGAGGGGCTGAAACTCCTTCAGCTCTGCAGGAACACCTCTGAGAGCGGAAGCTGCAGCTCAGCCTCCGGCAGGTGTGCCGGCTTCAGGCTGCAGAGGTTTCTGCGTGCTTCGGTTTCAATGAGACGTCCAAAACATCAGCTTCAGTTTCAGCAGAGCAGTGAGTAAAGTGTAAAAGTAAAGTGTAAAGTGTGCGTGTTAGTCCCCATAGGGAAATAGTTTCTCTGCATTTAACCCATTCACCCAGTGAAGCAGTGGGCAGCCACCAGTGCAGCGCCCGGGGAGCGGTGTGTAGGGACGGTACCTTGCTCAGGGGTACCTCAGGGTAGCCGTTCAGTGGAGACGAACCCCCGACCTTCCGATCATGGGGCTACCACTCTACCTACTGATCTGAGAAAATAATGAGACAAAAACAGGCGACTGGAACGACTCAGCAGCAAAACTCTTTCTCTGATCCTCCAGGAAACGACGCTCAGCGTCCACATTTCTGACTGCACGTGAACGCCTCGCTGACGACGCGTCAGGAAGACGTTTTAAACATCCTACAAAACACCGTCGTCAGCACAGAGTCAGCGCCGTGGTCCTCCACAGATATCCATCCCCGACTTTAAACAAGACGAACCTCATAAGCGCTGCGGTGAGCGGACCAAAGTGCTGAGTCAGAGCGCCGTGAATCTCTCCAACAAACCCGGCTGCACGTCTTCCTGACACAGATCTCTTCCTCTGTCTTTGTGCTGCTGCTCCTCTCTCATCTTCCTCCTTTCCACCTCTTGCATCACAGCTTCGCCTTGCTCTCCGTTTCCTTGCTCGCTTCCTTTTTATCTCACCCCGTCCATTTAAATCCTCTCTGCTCCGTCTGCATGGCAACGCCCGCTGTGTCGTTCACGCTGCTGTGGTGGAGATCATCTGTGTGACTTCCTCTAAACACTGAAACCATCTGTTTGCACCTCCGTCATCACCGCCATCTGAGCAGGACGCCATCATTTCCTGTCAGCTCTATGATGGTCATCATAAATAACCACCTGCAGCGTCTGCGGTGTGACAGCTCAGGACGCCGGGCGTGTGAGTGGACCACAGTGAGGCGCAGCTAGGCAACGAGTCTGCACGGCGACGGCTAAGCAGACCCACAAACTCAACCTGTCTGACACCAGAGCGATAGATCAGGCTGATATTTGATCAATAACACCGATTATGGACGAGTCAAAAATCACAGTTTTCTTCTCTGAGACATGAAACATTTCCTGAACCCCTGCTGTGTGCAGGTATTGGTGACTGTCTCCGCTCGGATCAGCCGATCAGTGTGTTTGTGTGCTGCCAGCAGGGAAGCTGCAGAGCGCCCTCTGATGTGCAGAGCTGTTATCGCAGCTGAAGGGTGTTTCTGAGTTTCACACACGTGTCTACTGTGGAGACCAACCTACACTCATGTATGTGCACAGGCAACGCGCCTGTAAGCCTCGTCACATCACTCTGTAACATGACGCCTCGTATGCTGTGCTGAATAAAGCTCAGATAAAGTGATTTCAGGTTAAATGATGAGCTGATGTCGTACACTTGAAACACATTGAGCCTGTCTGCACGTTTGCATGGATGTAAACAAATCAGCCGCAGGACGAGCTGGAGGAAGCATGGCGGAGTGCAAACACCCTGCCGGCGTTTTGCTCCCAGGCGAGCGGCTTCCTGACTCGAGCCTTTCTTGTGAAGTGTGCTTGGAGCGAAGCAGAGGTCCCTGCAGACGGCACACACTCACAGGAAACAAATATTTCTCGTGATGAAGAGAGAAAGGCTCGGTGCTACAGAGCACACACTCAAATGAGTGTGAAGGGAAAAATTAGCATCGGCGTTTCCAGCTAATCCCTGACACTTCCAGAGAAAAAGAAAGTACAAAATGAGGCGTGTTAGGAAAGCGTGCAGACAGTAACTGCGCCGTGCTGCGTTCATCGTCAAGATATTTTCAGTGTTTCTGCAGGAAATATCTGAGTTATTCCACATGTGCAGACCAGATGTTTGCTCAGACTGATCCGACCAGAGCTTCATCTTTACATGCTTTCATCCTCACATCATTCACTGAGCACAGCTTTATTTTGAAAAGCTCCGTTTGCCTTTGTGAAACAAGGACGACTCGTTTCAGGCGCAGATAAGTTCAAAGAACACAAAGTGTCTGATTTTATCTTCAGGACACGCCGAAGCTGCAGGATTCCTCCAAGAGCTCCAGTTTCACAGTTTGGGATGTTTCTACTCACTTCCTGTGATCGTTCTCTTGCCTGCCGTCTGAGGACCCCAGCTGATGATATTACAGCGGCTGAAACACCCCTCCCCCGACCAGCGTATGAAAACAACATCAGATCGATCTGCGGACCCGGTGGACTAACCGACGCCGCGTCCACAGATCGATTGATGGCCCTGAAGAGCTGTGGAGTGGGCGCGAGCTACCTGACACTGTGGACCTATTGATTAGGAGATGAACACACCGCTGTGTGTGTGTGTGTGTGTGTGTGTGTTTAGGCTGAGATGGTTAAAGCTGGTAAACAAGCTTGCCGTCTTCCATTTACGGTGTTTTTGCTGCTGGACAGGGATTGGCCGAGGCAGCTCTCGCATCACCGATTCTCCCTCAGCGTTTCACGCGGCGTCTCAAATGGGCATTTTTCGGGCCACGGGGATTCACATGGATGCTGCAGTTTGTGCTTCAGCCCGACGCCTCAGACGCCGCAGAGATCAGCGTCAGCCTCTCTGATCGGAGGTGAAATGTGTTCACGGCGCAGACGTTCCTCTGACTCACGCCTCTGCGCTCTCTCGAGGAGCCTGCGAGCCTCTCAGCGCTGAGCCGGTTTGTTTGGGGCGGAACGAGCTTCCTGAAAGGTTTCACCGGGAATGTCGACAGAGGACCGACTCGGTCTTCGGTTTAACGATGATGACGTCACAGTAAACACTCAGACTGTATATGAAAGATGGACAACATCACCTTGGTGCTGGTATGATGGTTTCTAACAGAAGCAAGCAAACATTTTTCACCACGAGGCTCCAGCAAACACACACAGATACCTGTGAGTATCATCCAATCACAACCCTCAAAGTTCATTCAGCAGACCTGGAGCTCCGCCTCTGGTAGCACAGCAACCTCACAGCAGCCGTGTGATTGGTCAGATTACCACGAATGCTCCAACAGGCTCTAACAGCACCAACACGAGCCGCCTGTGTCACCATCCACCTGTCAGTCACAGAGGCCACGCCCCTCACCAGGGGCCTCCTTTCAGCCTCCATCGGATTGATGGAGGCTGAAAGGAGGCGGAGCAAAGAAAAGGAAGAGAGAGCGGCACAGGCACAGAAACAGGAAATAATACGTACTTGAAACCCGGCGCAACGTTGGCGCAGCTCCCAGTCCGAAGCCAGATACAGTATGGGTCACGAGAGGCCAGGCAGGCTCTGCAGAGGGAGGAGAGGAAGAGGAGCAGTTAGAGTTTGGGCTCTTCCTCATCACTCAGTCACGGTCAGACGAGCCTCCCAGCACGCTCTGAGAACACCTGCAGAGCAGCAGGGAGAGCTTTAAACGTCGCTGGCTAATGATCCAATAAAGAACGGCTAGGGAACTCCAGGCCTCGAGGGCCGGTGTCCTGCAGGTTTTAGATGTGTCCTTGATCCATCGCAGCTGATTTAAATGGATAAATGACCTCCTCAACATGTCTTGAAGTTCTCCAGAGGCCTGGTAATGAATCATTTGATTCAGGTGTGCTGACCCAGGGTGAGATCTAAAACCTGCAGGCCCTCGAGGCCTGGAGTTGGACACCCCTGCCCTAGACCTTTAGGAAAGTCTTTCAGCAAACACCTTCAGATCTGCTCATCTTCCAGATCTGTGAACTGTTGGAGGAGACCACGTCACCTAAAAGAAGGAGAAGGAGGAGGAGGAGGAGAGTGGAACGTCTTTGTTAGCGTCTCCATGATGGAGACAGCTGGTGGGAGCCTCCGTACGCTGCAGCTGTGTTCACACATCACTAGGGATGGGTACCGGTGTCATGGCACCGGTTCTGACATAAACGGTAGTAACCAGACCAAAAAGCAGCGCACATTTCGGTGCTTTATTTCGGTGCTTTTTTTCCTGAGCTGTGATACACTTTAGATTCTAGCCAATCATTTTACGTTTCCGATGATAGTAGGCGGGTCCAGGTACGTACGTTCTTTTAGAGCAGAGCTACAGATTAAAAATG